TGAGACCTTGTCTTTTTATCTGCTCTTGCTAAATAAAGCAGAAGCCCCAGGTGAAAGGTCAATAGCTAAGGTTGTTGATTTTTGGTTTTAGCTTCTTTTCCTGAGTTGGGGCCCTCTTTGCCTCACTGGCTGTCCAGGTGGGCCTGGTGCTGGCCTTTCACTTCTGACATGAAGCCACTTTGGGCCTACTTACCTCACACAGTGATTTTTCACAACATTGCCTTCTCCCAGACTAGAAAGCCAGCTTCACTTTGCATTTCTGTCATTGTTCTTGTTCTTGTCCGTGGAGATATTACTTTGCTGCACAGAATTCTTACTTTCCCGCCCCCCCACTTTCCTCTTTTAATCATTACCTTGTCATTATTTGGTTGGAGTGGGTTGGGGGAGGAGTATTCTGAGTATGATTCACTGTGCTGTCTTCCATACTCCTGAGTGATACAGTTGTTTTTATCATCTGCAAGTATTGGCAATTTTTTCCTCCCCCTTTAAAACTTCATGACTTTTTTTTAAAAAAGATTGATTTATTTATGCATACGAGAGCTGCGGTACAGGCCAGAGGTGTGGGGGGTGAGAGGATTCACCAGAGACAGAGTGGGGAACAGAACGGGCAGATTGACCGAAGCACACTGCTGAGGGGAGAGGTGGGCAAGTCAGGAGAGGTCTGCTGTGCCATGTGAGTAGCTCCCTGGCCTGCCGGGGGGATCAAACTCACGCTGCAGGTTGCATCTTAACTTCTTGCACCACCAGGTAGGCCCAAAACTTTATGACTTTTAAAGACTCTTGAGTATTTAAAATTTTTTTTACTTATTCTCTTTTTTCCCCCCACGATAGGAGATGATTTGAGAGCCTTCATGGTGTTTATTAGCCTCCATAAGTTTTTGTTAGTTTTTACTTTATCAAATCATCTGCTATGTAAATTGTCCAGTATTTGTTTTTGTTTTTTCAAAAACTTTTTCATGGCCACACAATATTTTAAATCAGCTATCTAAATTAAACACAGGCACAACTAATGCCTTGTTTTGTTGGGTGGATATAAACATATTCTTTCATGGTTTCAATGACCCTGCTGTCTACATTTATATCCTCTTTGTGTTCTCTATATTTTTTACTTAGACTCCTCTCTTTTGTTCTTTTTGTCTTGTCAAAAATACATCAATTTGGGCCTCCCCGGTGGTTCATCGGTTGAGCACTGGGCTGCGAAACTCTGCAGCGCAGGTTCGATCCCGGACCCGGGGGGAGGGTCCCACATGGCGCGCAGACCTCTCCTGTGGCTCCCGCTGCTCCCCTCAGCAGTGTATTTCGTCAGTCTGCCTGTTCTGCTTTCCTCTCTGGCTCTGGTGAATTCTCTCACCCTCCCGTGCTTCTGACTGTATCCAGTGCTTGTATAAATAAATCTATAAAAAAAAAAAAATCAATTTATTATTCTTTTCAAAGAAACAACTTCTGATGTCTATTGTGTATGACAGGCACTATCTAAGCAGTAGAGTGAATAAAATGATCAAAAATTGCTGCTCCTTCAAAAAATCATGTGGGAAAATAATAAATAATAAATTTTATAATAAATCAGAAAATCCCATAGTAGATTAGAAGATGATGATTGTTGTAAAAATAAATAAGTAGATCAGAGTAAAGAAGACAGAGCAAACTGGAATGGGGAACACAGACAAGTTGCAATTTAAATAAGATGGTTAGATGACAGCTGATATTTAATATGAAATTAGATGGTTAGAAGAGAGCTGACATTTACTAAAGGTAAGGAATTAGCCATGTGGAGGTCTGTGACTTGGGCAGAAAGGACAACCAGCATAGGACCCTCATTTGGGAACCTATCTTCAGTGATGAGCAGCAAGAAGGAGAAGGGCTGGAACAGAGGAAGTAATAAGTGGGCAAACAGAGGACTCCTGGAGGAGGCGGTTTTAGATCATTTAGTGCTAGTTGAGCAATATTCCAATTTTGCTCTGGTATTTTATCTCTACACATCAAAAAAAAAATCACAAATTTTAGTTACAGAAGTGATGTGGCCTGGAATAAGTAAGTCTGATTATTGCACTCACCGATTTATAATGTCTCTAAACCCCTGTTCCTTCTTTCTTTCAAGAACTTCTTTCTTCCTTCTAAGAACAGATGAGCTCATCTGAATCGTCTTTGTTTTGTTTTTTCCCTCTAGGAGATGTACCTCCTGCCCCACAGCCAAAATGTGCTGACTTCCAGAATGCCAATCTCCTCCGAGGCACCAATCTCAAAGTCCAGTTTCTCCTCTTCACCCCTTCGGATCCTACTTGTGGACAGCTAGTGGAAGACAGCAGTGATATCCAGAATGCTGGGTTCAATGCCACTCTGGACACCAAACTAATTATCCATGGATTCAGGTGGGAGCTAACCAACTGATAGGACCACCTCAGCTAAGAACTAGAAAGTAACTAAAATGCCACAGGAAATTAATGAGGGGTGCAGGTGGAGAAATTGATTGACTGATAGTGTCATGTTTCATCCCTTATTTTGGACCATTTTTGAATGTGTGTCATGACATACTTATGTTGTTCATTCTTGTTGGTCAGGTAGGTTATCCCTTCCCTTTGTTCTGTCTATACACACCCAAGCAGTAAATATGTATGATCCTGGACAAGTCACTCCAGCACATGGAGTCTTGGTTTCTATATCTGAATAAAAGCGATGTTGTAGAGATAGTCATGGTGAACCGTTCCTCCCTGAAACACGGGGGTTGTGTGATTCATCTCAGCCAATGAGGTCATAGGATTTGCATAATCGCTGTGGGATCATGGTGTGTGGTGTCTGTATAAAAGGTTTTATTTCTCCTTTACTTCTTCCCTGGTTTCATGACTTAGGAAACTCCAACTCATGGGTGTTACTTCCGTCATACTCAGAGGTTAGTGTTCCTCAGGAGTTAGGTTGGTCTCATTTTAATTTCTTTGATGCCTTAGAGACCAAATTTTGTTACAACATATATTCATTGAGTCTCAGTTCAATCATTTCCCATCCTTCCAACACTTCCTTCCAATGCAAAGCCTCCTGGCAAGATAGGAACAGAGAGGCTGCTGGGAGGAGAAAGGAAGAGAATGTGGTGAAGCAGCAGCACCACAGAGCAACTAGAGTTAGGGGCGTCCAATGGGGAGGTGGACACAGTCACTGCACAAATCACTATTTCCTAATCTCTGAGTTCTCTCTACTTCTCAAATACCTTAACTCCGGGGACCCCATCATATCCTTCCTTAGGCATCTCCTCTAGCAAATCTTAGTGTCAACCATTACCCAATGTTTAGTGTGTCTCCCTTTTTGTAAAATACCATGCCAGGGATAGCTAATAGAGCTGGAGAGTTCAGCAGGCTCATCCTTTTTTTTTGCTCATAAATCTCACAAAGCCACATTGCACAGCACACACCTAGGCTGTGCTCCTTAGGCCACACGAGCATGCTCTGATTGTTCCTATATTTTGAGTCATTAAGAAAACTTCTTTCCTCATTCCAGTCTTTCAGGAAAGCTTTCTGAAAAATTTTCTATCATTCTCCTTTTTCTAGAAAAGTCCTATTATCCTCTAAACTCCAGAGGACTGGGAATAGATCTTATTTTTCTTATCTTTTACAAAGCACCTAGCAAACTGCCTGGTCAGTCTATTGAGTGAATGGAAGAGTGAATGAATGAACAAGTAAATGAAAACAAGGAAATTGTCAATACTTTAAGAATTAAGGTTGTAAGACAGTTATAAATCAGAGACATACTACAGGGGACGAGGAGGGAGAGAAATCAGAGGGAGGAGCACAGGGGATTGAGGTGATGGTACATGGGCACATTGGTCAAGGAAACTCTATGGGGACTACACCTGAGGGGTGGGGGGAAGCAAATATTGTTTAAAAAATGAACAACGATGTAAAATAAAATTCCACCAAAATTAAAAAAATTAAGGTTGTAAATCTGAATCCTAAGGTACAAAATCATCTTTTCTTTTCCATGAATAACACAAGCAGGTCTGTGCTGTGGCTTGTGTAGTTTGTGTATTGCACAAAGATGCCTCACTGTGGCCTGGTGTGACTGAGCTCGGAGCCCTGGAGAGAAGTTGTACCAACTGGAACAAAGGGCACCCTTTTATAATTTACCCAGGGCTCCACATGTGTCGGCAGACACCTGATCACTTTGGGATTGTGTTCTTCCTACATCCAAAGTGACATACGAGTCATTGCCCATATATCTCTTTTCCCTAAAATTGAAGTTTTTCTAGTTTTGAGGTTTATAGAAGTTACCAGGACAATGCAGCTTAACTTGGCAGGTAATTTTCCTATCCTTTCTTGTCCCCGTGTCCAGAGCTTTAGGAACAAAGCCTTCATGGATAGATACATTAATTGGCACCCTTCTGCGGGCAGCAGATGCTAATGTGATTGCTGTGGACTGGGTCTACGGCTCGACAGCTGCTTACTTCTCAGCTGTGGAAAATGTGGTTAAGCTGGGACTGGAGATCTCCAGCTTCCTCAGCGAACTTCTGGTAGGTGCAGAACAACTTGGGGGCGAGTTTTGACAACTTACAGGAAAGAAAGAAACAACACACAGAGAGGAGCTTTAGGGCAAAAGCGGAGCCACCCGGAGGCTTGCTGATCTTTGATTCAAATCTCCGTTCTGCTAATGACAGTGCTGACCTTGGGCGGCTTGTGAATCTCTCTGAACCTTCCACTCCTCCTTTCTAAAATAGGCCACTGCATGCTCATTAGGGAGGGCCATGGAGGGCTTCTGTAGGCAAGAGGGCACGGCTGTGGATTTTTGGATGCCAGAAAGGAAAGTGAGGGGATTGTCAAGGTAGAGCGGTTGAAAGAGAGCAAATGCTTAATGGAATGAGAATTGTCCCCTCTTTTTCTGCAGCATTTGAGGGCCTCAGGCCCAGAATGGGGAGGCCAAGGGTTGCTGTGTCCCAAATGGAACTCTCTCTGAATGTCCTGTTGTAGGTGCTGGGCGTGTCAGAGTCCTCAGTCCACATCATTGGTGTCAGCCTGGGGGCCCATGTTGGGGGCATGGTGGGACATTTCCACAAAGGCCAGTTGGGACGGATCACAGGTAACATTCTTTTCTGCCCACCTTTCCAGTTTTAGAGATAGAAAATGCCCTGGAAATGCCCTTGCTAAGACAAGTAGGAGTAAGTATTGATTCTTTGTTCTTTAATTAAGTCACCTACTGCCACTAAAAAATTTTACCATGGCCCTTTTGTATAAAATGGCATTGTGTTACTATTACATGATCTCTAATGTCAGTATAAGAGGCCATGCATGTCCTTCTGAACCTCAGTTCCTATATCTGTAAAATGGAATATAACTGCTCATATCTCCTTGGTCCGTTGTGGAATCGGAGGGTGCTTTATGCGTCAGGAGCTGTCCTCAATCTTTAAGGAACTAAAGTCATGTGGTAAACACTCCAACTTCTTGGCCCACCAGCAGGACAATCAGTCATACAGAGTTCCTCAGAGGCCCCTAGTCGTATGACACCCAGTTGCCCAAAGTGATAATCCATCCATTAAAATTTTCCTCCAATTTCTGACTCATTTTCTTACTCCCTCACATTGCTGATCTTCTCCCAATAAAGTTATTTGATTATAAATCCCTGTGTCAGGGTCTGTTTTTGGAGGGGAAAATAATCCAACTTAGACATGGAGATAATATTTATTTTCCCATGTCGTTGTGAGACTAGAATTTATAAAACTCCCTAGCACAAGACCTGGCAGATAGTAACTGCCTAAAGCGTAAAGCTAGTGTTGATTAATATGTGATGATTAATATTACTCACACTACCCAATGGGTGGTGTTATTAAACTCACTTTAGAGGCAGAGAAACTGGATCATTGAAAGGTCAGAGACAACAGAGTGGGGTTTCCTGGGCACTGTGGTCCTGAACTAGTTCTCTCTTGGGTCCTCCATGGGTGACTCTGATCTGAACTGAAAAACTGCGCAGGTAAGTGTGCAGTGGGCACATGAGGTTCCTTTAGTTAAGAAGAAAAGGGCCTCTGATATGGGTCTGTCCTCACAGGCCTGGACCCTGCTGGACCAGAGTACACCAGAGCCAGCCCGGAGGAGCGTCTGGATGCCAGAGATGCCCTCTTCGTGGAAGCCATCCACACCGACACTGACAGTGAGCTGGGGTGACCTTTCTGGGTGGGAGAATGAGCACAGGGCAGGAGGTGAGGATGCTGACACCTAACTATGTGGCCATGGGCAAAGTCCTTCCCCTTCTCAGCTTCTGTGGCTCAATGAGGAGTTTCCAGCCTGGTCCTGAAAGGCTGTCCCAGCTTTGCCTTCTGTGACTACTGAAACGAATTGTTTTATTTTCAACCAGCAGCAGGCAGGAGGGTCAAAAACATTGTGGGTCCAAGATATTTGGTCATAAATTCAGTCTCTGATTCAACTCAACCTTGGGCTGCGGTAGTGCTGGGAAGACACTGTGGCCTTTTCATAAATGGGAAAGTCAGACCGTTTTCTTGGGGTGAATGTGCCCCCAGAGGGTTGGGGGATTCCACTCAGGACAGATGTTCAAGACTGTCAAGTCTCCTTTCCTTTCTAGGGGACAAGCCCAGTCTCTCAGTTCAATGAAGAATGAGAATCTACCATCCCAAATCAACTGGCACATAAAAGCCACCCTTCCCCATTCCTACTCCACCTCCATCTCGAAATCCATTATGACCAAATTAAGCTTCTTCTGACCAGCTGGAAAAAGGAGTGGGCATTCCTCCTCATTCCTACTCACCATCAAATGCCCATAAAGTTTGTCCCAGGTCCTGTGCTCAGTGTGCTTGAGAGGAGGGGAGGAGAGGGAGGTGCAGGAAGAAATAACATCTGCACCTGACCAGAAGAGTTTGCAGTTCTAATGAGATTTCCCTGTTTTGTTCCAGTTGGTCAGAAGCCTGCTGCTAGCCTCCAAGACCTACAGATTCATCATTTTGGAAGAAACTAACACAATCATATTGCTCAACTTTCTTTTCCACCTTAATTTTACAGGTGGACGACCAAAGCCCACAGACCTCTGCCTAGCTGTTGGGTTAATTAAGCCATACTTAATAAGGTTATCTGTCCCTAAATTTACTAAATGTGTGATATACTAGTGTCCTGAGCGAGGCCTCTTAGTCTCACTTCAAAGTTAGACCCTCTTTCTAATACAACAAAAACAAAACCAAAAACCAAAACCACCACCACCAAAAACCACCCTGTCCATTTATACAATCAATTTTTTTTTAAACTATGTAATAGGCTCTGAGAATACAACTGAAACAGGACAAACCCGGAGCACCAGAGTTGACCCAGCTGGTGGGTCCTTACCCATGTGCTTAATAACACAGAACTTGACCCCAAATCAGATACAGGGTGAAAAATCAGTAACAGGATTTAGTGATGAGGCAGTGAGAAAAGGGAGAGCTGAGAGAGTACTTACAGGCTGGCACAGGCCAGAGGCTGTCTGCCCTACACCAGATAGCATCTGCTGTGCAGAGAACAAGTTCCAAGCTGAAACCACAAGTGGAAAGCGGGTGCCTTCTCTATAGACACCCCTCATTGGCAGTGACTCAACTGCCCATAGCCCCAACTAGACCCCCCTTTCCCATCAGACTCCACTCAGGGGGTGGGGCCTGGAAAGCTCCACCTTCTACCTTGAGTTGGCCATGAGCACCACCCACTGTCTCAGAGGCTGCTCCTCACTGTTCCTCTGGCACATTGAACAAGGCATCAAATAAGGCCCCTGTCCACATGGAAATGATGGGTTAATTGGGCAAGTAGTCATTCATCTACTCCTTGAATAAACATTTATTAGCCACTCACATGTGCTAGCTGCCATGCTGGTATTGGGACATAGCAGGCAAAGGCTCTGCTGTTGTGGAGCTCATGTACCAGGAAATAGACAAGGTAATTGCAATTAGGAAGGATTTGAGCTAAAGGATGATTTAGGTAGGGGTTCTTCTTCAAGAAGGATTATCAAGGAAAATCTGTCCAAGGTGGGATATTAGAGGGGAGACTTGTGGTGAGAATGAGTCAGTCCTGGTAGTCCTAGGAAATGAACATTCTAGGTAGTCAGTACAACCTGGAATGGGAGATGAGGGGTGAGGAGGAAAGATGTGGCATGGGAAAGAGAAACATGACATTAGAATGGAGAATGAGATTGTGAGTGAAGTTGGAGAAAAGGGAGCAGACCAGGCCGGCCTTGGCAAGGAGTTCTACAATCAGTGATAGTAGAGCGGTGATTTGGATTTGTTTAAAAGATGATCATGCCTGCTATATAGAGAATGGTCTGCAGGAGGCACTGGGCGGGGGAGCCTAGAGGCTCATTAGAGGTATTTGTTATGGTAGCAAAAGATGATGATGGCTTGGGCAAAGGTGGTGGCAGTAGAGATAGACAGCAGAAAGGTTCAGTATATATATATATATATATATATATATATATATATATATATATATATACATACACACATTCATAGTCCATCTCCATATTCCTTTGTCCTCTTCTCCTCTCCCCCTTTTTTTGTCCCTCCCCAAGTTCACCCCCTCCCCTTATGGAAGCTTCATATTCAAAACATATTTTGGAGATGGTTGACCAGACTAGTGATAGGTGCAGGGAGGGAGCAAGGGAAAACGTATATTCAAGGGTGAATTCTGAATCATTGCTGAACCCCTGAATAGATGACATTAAATAAATAATACTCAACCAATTGCTTACAATAGTGTAGATTGTATAAAGTAGAAAGTATCTTTGGCAGCTGGATCTAACCCAGTGTGAGGGGTCAGAGATGGTCATATGATGAGATGAGGCTACTGTCTCTAAAACTGATCCCTTGTAACCAGGTCATATTTCTGCTCAGTAAGGAGAGCACAAAAATATGTTATGAGTAAACTGTGGGAAAGTGGCTCAAATATATTTCTCTGAACTATTGCTTGAAGCGAAATACAAACTACTCAACATTTACGGAGCATATAACATTTACTGATTTATAAGGGACGTTGTTCTTGACTTTATTAGGCCAACATGATTATCTTATGAATGTATTCCTCTTTGCTTCTGTTCAACATGGAAAAATCCCTTTAGAAAGCTGTCTGTGGGCCAGTTCAGCAGCTTCACAGCAGTTAGGAATGAGGTGGGCACCCATTCAGCACTGTGTGGGGCCTGCTGCCAATGGGGACATATGTCCCTTCTGTAAGGAGGTAACAGGGTAACAGGGTTTTGTTTCCTTTCAGATTGGGGTATTCGGATTCCTGTAGGACACGTGGATTACTTCGTTAATGGAGGCCAAGACCAACCTGGCTGTCCCACTTACTTTTATGCAGGTCAGAAAGCCACAGAGTTGGCATTTAGCTACCCCAGGAACCAGAATTCACCAACAGCCTTAGTGCAGAGTCAGCCAGTGGAGGCATAGAGAGTCTTCCTTCCAGTGTCCTTAGCTGTGTCCCATAAATCTTGCTCTGCACTTACTGAATGGATGTCTTTGGAATCCCAGAAGTCTAAGGGAGGTGTGTCTGCAATTAAAAGGTGTGCCATACTTATGCTGCCCTCCCCACTTTAGGTTGTGTGTGACCTAATATCATTCAAGCCAGTAACCTTTATTCTTCCTGGGCCCTGCTTTGTGGCAGGTCCACACCAGCTACATCTGGGCAGAGCCTGGTTGTAGCAGAAGTAGATCGTTGTACCCAGTGCTAGCTAGAGAGCTGAAGTGTCCATTCACTGTGTGACCTTTTTTCCAGACTTGTAGTTCTCAAAGTCATTCTCAAGATACTCATCAAATACTTCAATGAATATACATTTCTTCTCTTCTAAGTATATTCTTCTGGATTTTAAAAAAGATTTATTTTATTTATTTATACATACAAGAACTGAGGTGTAGGCCAGAGGTGCAGGGGTGAGAGGATTCACCAGACTGGGGAGCAGAACAGGCAGATCTACTGACATACACTGCTGAGGGGAGCAGCAGGTGAAACAGGAGAGGTCTGCTGCACCACATGTGGGTTAGTTCCCTGGCTGGGGATCCAACTCATGGCACAGTGGCTGGCTATAGCTTGATAACACTGAGACCAAGCCCTGCACTACCAGGGAAGCCCTATTCTTCTGGATTTTTAAAAAATAAATTCACAGAATAATATTCTTCTTATCATCATTTTAAATAATATTATATTAGTCAAAAGCTGACATCCTTATTGCTTGTTTAGTCTTCTTATAGGTGTGCTATGAATATAGCCAACTATCAGCATTTTATTTGGGAACCTTATCCTGATTTTGTTTACTATCTTTTTAATTTTATCTGGCCTTATCAAACTTTTCCCATTTTAAGGATTCTTTTGATAATTTATTTACCAAATTCACTGATTTTCCAATAACATGTTTCTTTTAACAATTTATATTTTTTTCCAGCAATTCTGATCAGATTGGAGAGTTTGGTTTTAGTGACTTCTGAAATTTCCTGTGGCATATTGGTTGGTTTCATGTTTGGTTTTTTCTTCATAATGCAATTTGAAAAGGCTTAATTTATGTTTTTCCCAGCCCCCTGGTGCAGCTGGAAGGAGCTTGCCACAGACAGTGATCCAGTTGTGAGGGAAAGGCAAGTCAGCACACAGCTCAGACTGAGTAGTGGGTCCTAGAGAAGGATTCCTACGGTGAAGGGAGAGTTGGAAGCCTCCAGAACCCTGGAGTTGTGGCTCAATACAGACCTTTTAGCCCCAGTCGATTTGTCCAATGTGAGTTAAGAAGAATTTAAAATAGTATATAACAATTACAAGAAAACCAACTTTTGGCAAACTCAGCTATCAGTCATTTGACAGGTGCACATTGGCACCTCGACTCTCAGAGTTTGACTGTGGGCTACTGCTGGCTCCCTTGCTCATGTCATTGCTGGGGTGGCTATAATGCAGGTGGTTGTGTGGGTGATGATGAAGAAGGTAAGAATGTGAAGACAAATACTCTTTTTGAGAAGTGGGCTCAGAATCTTCAGTTCTCTGTATACTCGCATTTTCTGAAAGAGACCTTGCATGATCATGGGAGATGGGTCTTAAATTAGGAAAACTTCCTGATAGATTAAGTTTAGGTATCTCAGGACATATTAAAAAGGGAGGGAAGAAACAGCAGCCACATCCATTACTATTTTTCAAATGTGGTTCAGGGGACATCCTGTGTATTTACAGACTTCTGGAATATAAACTCAGTAGAGTTAAAGTAAGTAGCATACAGGGAATTTTCATTTTCTTGAACTGAAACTTGGTTGTGTTATTTTCCCTCTTATACAGGCTACAATTATCTGATCTGTGATCACATGAGGGCTGTGTACCTCTATATCAGCGCCCTGGAGAATTCCTGTCCGTTGATGGCCTTTCCCTGCGACAACTACGAGGACTTCCTGGCAGGACACTGTCTGGATTGTACTAACCCTTTTCTGCTTTCCTGCCCAAGGATTGGTAAATGCCACCCTTTTGGCTTCTTTAACAATTTGTGGAAAATCCAAGTCTCTGACCACCTTTGGTCAAGAAATCTACCCATTGCGATGAAGAAATTAACCAATGAGATCTTTAGTCTGTTCTCACCCGAAAGATGGCATTGAGTCTCTGTGCCCCGCACTTTACCTTCTGTGCTGCTACCTGATGCCATACTCTCTGTTCACACACCCTTTGCATGCTCAGTCCCTCGCCTGCAAACTCAGGCTCCGGATCATCTAGAAACAGTGGTATAATGTAGACCTCCCATCCCCGCTCTATGGGATGCTTGCCATAAGTCTTTCTGGCGAGGCCTGCCATTCTCCTATTCCTGATAGATTCTCAATTAAGTGTTTGCAGGAGTCCCCAAGAATGGCACACACGGCCCACTTTTGAGGTGTCTGGCTGTGGTGCCTTGTCCCACCTCAGGTACATTCTTGGATGATCTGGGCCACTCTGGTGAGAGGGAGGGATCTGACCTCTGTTCTCCTCGGGCAGAACATTGTTGCAAATATCCTGGTGTTGGCCAGGCTGAAAGGCTCTGGAAAAAACTCCTGGGCAGTGTAAACTTCCCTTCCTCTCCCACTTCCCACTTTGGCTACCACTCAGAACTGCAGCAGTCTGTCCCTGCTTATATGAATGAAATGGATGCCAACTAGACAAAGTGTGGAAGTTGGGGTAGTTTCCCATAGTCAAGCAAACCACCATTACTTCTTGCTCATCATGCATGTTCTCCCAGATGTGATGAATGAGCTGGTGTAACAACCACTTCAGCCCACCCCTCCCCACCCCTTCCCTTGCCCTGACCACCCCGGCGATGCTGCAAGTATTTCAAGCATGTCCGAGGGTATTTCATGTTTCTCCACACTGTGTGGCTTGGCCCAAAGTGCACTCTCTGCCTGGAATACGCTTCCCTAACTGGCCAACCACTGTTCCTGAGATCAAATACTTCCCCGTGCTTCCAGTGTCACTAAAACAAATGTCACAGAGACAATTTTGCCCCTCTTAAATTTGAAATCCCAAATTTTTTCTAAATATTTCCTGAGGTTGGGCTAGACGATCTGAACTACGTACCTCATGTTTACTTGAATGTTTATCCTCCACTGCACTGTGTTCCTGGCTGCCGCACTGCAAGGTGCGGTCCATGATTAGCACAATGGATCTGCCTGCCCAGCGAATGGGTGCACAAATAAATCAATATGTAGCTTGTCCTGAAATGACCACCTTAGGACTCTGCTGTATTTTCTTCTTTACTTCCAGGTCTGGTGGAACGAGGTGGTGTCCAGGTAGAGCCGCTGCCCAAGGAAGTGAGAGTCTACCTGCTGACCACTTCCATGGTTCCATACTGTGGTGAGTGGGCAGAGGAGGGACAGATGATTTGGCGACTTAGGTAAAGTCACACCGCTGGTCAGCAGCAGGGTCAGACCTTGGAACTGAGTCCCCTCACTATCCGTCAGCACTCCAAGCACTGCTTCCCAGGTCAAGATGCTGTGCACATTTTTTAAAAAAAGATTTATTTATTTATTTATACAAGAACTGGGGTACAGGTCAGATGTGCGGGAGGGTGAGAGGATTCACCAGAGATAGAGCAGGGAACAGAACAGGCAGACTGACAAAATACACTGCTGAGGGGAGCAGCGGGCGAGACAGGAGAGGTCTGCTCGTCATGTGGGGCCCTCGCCAGCTGGCCGGGATTGAACCAGCACTGCAGAGGCTGTGAACAGCTTCACAGCATGGCACTCAACTGCTTGTGCCACCAGGGGAGGACCTGCTGTGCTCATTTTATTTCACTACCAGTTCCCACCCAGCATTAGTAGACTTGGCTCTCCTGGGAAATACAGACTAGAGAGAAGCAGACATTTTCTTTAGGAAAATTTTCTTGATCAGTAATACCTATTGACAAAGAAAGAAGCAGTATATCAAACAACCTAGAGAATAAAATTCCAAAATCTCTAAACAAGGTTAGACCTTGTTTTCCATATTGCAATTATCCACTCTAGTTTAGTCCCTGCCCATCACCATAACAATACATATCCCATAATAAAAAGACAAGAGGTGTGGCATTTGATATTTTCCTCTGGGGAAGTGGGCAGTGTATAGTGCTATCTTTTTTTTCATTGGTTCTTAGCATATTAGCAATGTCAACGAGTCCTCTCTGTTACTAACACAATGAACCCTCCTGCAACTTTGTGCTGAGTCTGCCTCAATCCATTTGATGTCCCCTCCAATTTTGCCTGTGAAACACAACAAATGAAAAAGCACAGGGGCCTCCCTGGTGGCGTAAGGGGTTAAAATCTCAGCGCTATCAAACTGCCACCAGCCACTGCATAGTTCAATCCCCAGCCAGGGAGGTGACCCACATGGTGCAGCTCCTTTATAGCCCACTGCTCCCCTCAGCAGTGTATTTCAGTCGATCCGCCTGTTCTGCTCCCCGCTCTGTCTCTCCCCTCTCATCCCCGCACCTCTGGCCTACACTCCAGTTCTTGTGTGCATAAATAAATAAAATAAATCTTTAAAAAAATATAGAAGGGCCTCCCCTGGTGGTGCAGCGGATGAGCACTGGGCTGCGAAGCTGCCCTCAGGCTCTGCAGCGCCGGTTTGATCCCCATCTGCCAGTGAGGGTCCCACATGCATAGACCTCTCCTGCCATGCCTGCTCAGCAGTGTACTTCGTCCGTCTGCCTGTTCTGCTCCCCGCTCTGGCTCTGGTGGATTCTCTCACCCTCCCGCACTTCTGACTGTACCCAGTGCTTGTATAAATAATAAATCTTTAAAAAAAAATTTAAAAAATAGAAAAAGCACAAGTGGGGCAAAAGTAAAGAATTACCTCTTTAATTATATCTCAATCACCCAATGAGTCTGTGAAAACCCTGAGACCAAAGTTACTGCAAAATGCCACCAGAAGTGCTGTCCTGGCATTAAGGAAGTAGTGGCCTCCCTTAACCTCTCTTGCCTCAGGGGCAGCGGGTTCAGCGTGGTCACATCCCCATGAGCCAAGCTGCTCTCCCAGTCTATGTGGAAAACACCGGCTTTGAGAGCCCTAGTGTCCACACTGCCTGGAGGCTCAAAATGCCACATAGACAGCAGCTACCACAGAGAGGGAACTAGTCACCTCCTACACAGGGAATGGACTCCTTGACACTGTGTTTGTAGTCAGAGGGATGTCGCTATGTTTTTTTAATTAGTTATTTAGTATGAGATACAGCATTTTTAAAATCACACCACCAGGGTCATGTGACCAAATTGGGAGGGCTAGGACATTCTAGCATTAAAGGTAATCAAAATTAATATGTATTAAATCTTCCTAGGCACACATGCTGCCTGAAAACTTTATATGTAATTCATTTAATTCTCATTCAGGGCCCTCCCTGGTGGCGCAAGGGGTTAAGCACCACACTATGAAGCTCTCTGCAGACTCTGCAGCATGAGTTCAATCCCTGGCCAGCCAGGGGGCTACCCCCATGGTGCAGCAGACCTCTCCTGTCTCGCCTGCTGCTCCCCTCAGCAGTGTATTTCAGTTAGTCTGCCGTTCTGCTCCCCACTCTGTCTCTGGCAAATTCACCCCCTGCATCTCCGGCCTGTACCCCAGCTCTTGTATGCATAAATAAATAAATCTTTAAAAAAAATAATTCTCATTCAGTCCTGAGAGCTATCTATATGGTCATATTGAGAAGCTGAGGCGCTCTGGTGACAGGTGATCTGTCACAGGTCACACAGCTTTTAAGGGGCTGCCCTGAGATGCCTCACCACATACCACACAGAAAAATATCTGGGATATTTTTCATGTTATACCACTGATCTCTGGCCCGGTCATCTGCTCTGCTTTGGTTTCCTAGTGCATCACAGCTTTGTGGAGTTTCACCTACAGGAACCAAGAAACAAGGACACAAGCATTAAGGTCACCTTCCTTAGCGGCAATGTCTCCTCCTCGGTCAAGATCACCATGTAAGTAAGTGCCCCACGTGGATGACCAATCTCCTAGGAGTTAGTTGCCTTCCCACTTTACACATGCAGACACACATATACACACGTCCCCTGAGAGGCATTGTGTGATAACTGATGGGTGGGACAAGTAAGTCCCCTGGGCTGGGACAGGGGGGTGATGGCTGTATAACAGACATGCTAGGCAACTGTCCCAGGTTCGGGACCAGCACCAGATCCAAGAGTAGTGTGTTCAGACAAAAGCAGACGAGGCAGACAAGCAGCAGTAGTGGGGTGTCCCAACAGGTGGTGAGAACATGGAAATTGGGTCCCTGATAGGAAAAGGTGCTCCGCAGTACAGCAGGGCCATCAAGGATGTCAGCAGGAAGAAGGGAATTCAGCCTCTAGCCCACAGAGGGCTGGTCAGGGCCTGGGCAACACCCACTCCTGGAGGGGATCCCACTTGGTGGGTTACCCGGCCAGAACCCTAGGTAGAGCGTCATTAGCAAATGAATGAAAGCTGAGAGCCAGCAGGCTTGATGCCTGGTGGAACCAGTGCCTGGAAGTGAGCTGAGAATTTCTGTCCCACTTGGGCCTGTAGTTGGTGGGACCAGATTTGAGGTGAGAGAGCTGAGAACCTCAAGAGTAGGGAGCTGCAGTGGTGGGAGACAAGAACAGAGCAGCAATGATTCAGGTTTAAAGCATTTGGTTAGTTCTTCACACGTCTGCAGGAGACAGACTAAGCAGAGAAGTCACTGTCTGAGTCAGGATCCAGTGGGAAAAATACAGCCCAATTCCATAGTCCATTAAAAAGAATTTAACACAGGGAACTAACACAAATGTGTTGGGAGAACTAAAAAACCAAAAGGAGGATGAGGAGGCAGTGCAGAGATTAGCTTCAGAAAGAACCACACCCGCACCAGGACTAAAAGGGCAGAGCAAGGTGGTGCTGACAGAGCAGATTCACAGGGAGGAGGTGTGTGTGATGAGAGGCTGACTGGCAGGAGCTGGAAGCTGGGAGGAAACACAGCCCTTCTGGAAGCACTGACCAACTGGTGCACACCGGTGCATTAAAGGTGCTTGGCAGAGGAGCTTAAGAAATGTGGTTTGCAAGGGCATGAACGGAGCCCACACATGGAGAACTGTGCTGTGGTCAAGGTGACAGGTGTTCTGAGAACAAGTAAGAGGGAACCTAACCCATGTGTGGAAATGAGATTAGAATAGAGATTTGAAGGCTTTGTAAGAGTTCCCCAGGCCACGGTTTAGTGAGAATAAGACACTGGGAAACAGAGATCAGGGGTTAAAGCACAGTGAGCAGAGACCTGGGAGGTTAGTCAGGCCCAAACCATGCTGGGTCTTGAAGGACAGGAAAGGGGTTTTATCTGAGAGCAGTTTCGGGAGCCACTAGGTATTTTCAACAAGTGCGGAGTTGGGAACACATCTCAGGCTGTGGCGTTAAGACACTGGTTGTGCTTTCTCAGAAGTTTCTATTGAGAAACTTCTCAGAGTTTCTCAGGTTTCTGCTGAGAAGAACCTTCTGCTGGGGTCCCAAACACCCTGCCCCAGGCAGAATTCCAGCTGACTGAGACCCCATGGAGAGGTGTGGCCATCAGGACCCCAACACAGATTTTCAGGTGTCCACGTGAGCCTTGTAGATTGTAGCTGAAAGTTTTTCATGAGATCAGTTCAAGGTTGTGTCACTTCACAAAGAGAGTTTTTATGACCTCTCCAGCCCACTGGTAGGTGGGTCACCACTGGAAGGCATTGTGACAGTGACCCGCCACTCTGCACATTAGAGTCAGGGGACAGCTTTGAAGCGCCTGCCGCCAAGCCCCAGGCTACTGGCTGAAGAATGTCAGGGTGTAGCCTCCAGGGCTTCCTGAGTCAGGCCTGCCAACATCTCCCAAAGAGATTTGTATGTTACTCTTTTGAAGAAGGCGATCAGAACATGACTATCTTCAATTTCTAGCAGAACAGAAATTGAAAAAAAAAAATAGAGGGGAGTTTATGTGTGGTCTTTCCCCTACTTCCTTTAGCTTTGTGAAACCCCAAGGTTTCCTTCTAATTAGAAAATTTACCCCGTCAAGTCCCCAGGCCACCCACTCACAGTGTCCATGCTCCTTTTTAGTTTGCAAGCTCCTCAGTCCAAGTATCTTCTTAAAGGGGACAATCTTCCTAATTTCTCCTTTGAAATAGTTCCAAAAAAGGAACACTTTAAACAAAGTCATACAAGATCTTGTTCTCAGAAGAAAAAAATAAGCCACATGACTAAACATATAACAAGAAGACGTTTCATCACTGCACAGGCAGGAAAGAAAAGAACCCGAACTGGCTGAACCACAGCTTCCCTAGAACAATGCATACCACCTTGGGGGTAGGAGGGGTAGTGCCTCCTGGGCCCTCTCTTTCTCACAATTCCTATTGCCTCTGAAGCCAGAGAGGACTGGGAAGGGTCAGCAGCCCACACCAGGACTCAGGAAGCAAATTCCTTCCCAGACTGGAGGCTGAGTGGCTCTGCTGAGCTCCTTCCCTGCTCCCCCCACCCTACCTCCAGAGCCCCTCAGGGCCCAGTTTGGAGACCCAGGACTTCTGAGATGACATTCATGGCAGAACTTTTGTTCCACTCATGAGTCTTGCCTTTGTCTGGGTCCTCTCTTTGTTGGTCTGCAAGCTCCTCCCTTCGTCTTGGCCTGAGGGCATGAGTTCAAAGTGGTGCCTAAATCTCATAAAGCAGTGGGGGATTCTGTTCTCACTCTGGACCCCCGATGTTGCAGTCAGTATCTGCCGAACTCTGTAGCTGGCATGTGGGGGACCTAGGCTTTAGACCTAGGATTAGACCTAGGACTGTGTGACTCCAAAACCACATGGCTGGGAAGACAGAACCAAGTTCCACTCCAGCTCTGTCTGACTTTAAGACCTGTTTTTTGCTTATTTTTTTCTTATCCACACATTCATATTAAATCTAAAATAGAGTAGTCGTCGCACAAAATTCTTTGAACTAAAAAGAGGGCTCTACTTTCAGATAATTGGATCTGAAATGAAGATCTCCAACTAGTAATCTAAGAAAAGGGACATTTCTCCAGATGGGAAATTCCAAGAGCTATTACTATTTTGCTGCAGTGCTCACTACTTAACTTACAACAATCCACAGATATTTTCTAAGCTTTGGGGGTGTGGGCAGTGGGGCTGGTGAGGATGATACAACCTCCGAGAGCTAAACTCACTAAACCTCATGTAGGTCAGCTAAACAATACACCAGCAGAGACCTACTGGAGCCACAGGCAGCAAAGATCAAAAATGCGACAGTGGGGGTCTTCCTGGTGGTGCAGCAGGTTGAGCGCAGCACTGTGAAGCTGTCCGCAGCCTCCGCAGCGCCGGTTCGATACCTGGCCGGTCAGGGAGAACCCCACATGGTGCGGCAGACCTCTCCTGTCTCGCCCGCTGCTCCCCTCAGCAGTGCTTTCGGTCCATCTGCCTGTTCTGCTCCCCACTCTATCTCTGGTGAATCCTCTCACCCTCCCACCCTCTGGCCTGTACCCCAGCTCTTGTATAAATAATAAAAAAAAATCTTTGAAAAAAAAGTGTGACAGTGACTTACTATTCCTTCCCTTTGCAGACCTAAACAGCAGCTCCAGGGGAAAGCAGTCATGGCCCATGCCAATCCTCCCTGCCAGATAAACCAAGTGAAACTCAAGCTTAAGGCTTCCATACTTAAGGTTTGGAAAAAAGACCAGACTGTCCTTGCTGGGAAGTTCTGCACCGCGCCTCTGCCGGTCAATGACAAGTAAGCCCCGCTGTGCACCCCCACCCCATTCACACCCACAAGGACCAATGCTGACCTCAAATGTGGTACTTCTTGAAGTGCAGTCCCATGATGGGGATTAGCTTTTTCAAAGCAGAAATGGCAAAGATCCAGGGTTTTCCCAAGCCTCTTGCCGTGCAATCTTGGGTTGGGATGTTAGGAAGTCAGAGTGGGCTTTAATTTCTCATCCCCACTTCTGTGTAAGAAACTCTATTTAGGGCCTCCCCGGTGGCGCAGCGGTTGAACGCTGGGTTGCGAAGCTGCCCGCGGCCTCTGCGGCGCCGGTTCGATCCCCGGCTGCGCCACCGGAGGAGGGTCCCACATGGCGCGCAGACCTCTCCTGCCACCCACTCCTCCCCTCAGCAGTGTACTTCGGTCCTTCTGCCTGCTCTGCTCCCCGCTCTGGCTCTGGTGAATTCTCTCACCCTCCCGCGCTTCTGACTGTACCCAGTGCATGTATAAACAAAACAAACAAACAAACAAACAAACAAAGAAAACATGCCTCTATTAAAATATATATATATATATTAAAAAAAAAAGAAACTCTATTTATTGGGTTGCTGGAAAGGTCATGATGTACAAATGCATCATGACCTTTCCAACAACCCAATATATTTGTGTGTGTGTGTTGGGGGTGGGTATGTCTGTTTCATTTTGTTTCACATCAGATTTTATTAGCGTAAAGACTTCTGGTTGCTTTCTTCCTCTTCCTTAGTCTCCACTGATCATGTCCATGCATGTGGATCCAGGATCCCTACCCGATCTGTCCCCTCTACAGGCATTTGTATTAGCAGCATTTATATTTGTGGGCATTTACACATTCTATTCAGCAGCCCGGGACAACAAGCTCCTATAGCCACCGATAGACCCCTTTCACCTGACATGGAAACACAGGTGCACACAACTTCTAGCCCTCTCTCCTGACCAGCCAACCAAGAGCCTACCCTGAGCCTATACCCTCTTGTTCTTCTTTTGCAGCAAAAGGATGGTCTGCTTACCTGAGCTAGTGACCCTGCAAGCAGGTGTGACTGTTTCTCATGACCTGAACATAACTTGTGTTTAGTACAACCCTAGCAGGACACGTGTTCCTGAAATTGGGAGGTGGGTGATTCAACTTTTTCTAGATGATTACTACAAAGAAGGAAGGCCAAATCCTTGATAATTTTCCCCAAAATTAGCCACCTTAGAAGGAAGAGATAGTTCATTTTACAGAGCTCTAGCTTCATTGTTAGTTTGGAGAGCTTGATATAGAATGTATTTCAACTTTATAAATTATTTTTAACTGCAGTTGCTCCATATTCTTGGAGATCTGTGCTTAGGATTTAATAGAAACATATACAAGGAAAATACGCCCTATTTCCATCGCATATCTGAACCATTTGTTTTACTAGAATGGAGTGCTGTTATTTACAAAAAATGTGATTTACAGTCTATGGGACTAGAGAAAACAGATGTTGAATTGTGTGTATTAAATAGTAATGAAATGAAATGCTTGGAACATGAAAGGGGATGCAGGGAGATGCAGAAGATGACACCATTCACCACCACTTTCCATTGCCTTCTCTGGATAGGCAGAAGATTTGGGGGATCAGGGAGCTCTTTGGGGGATAGAGGTAGATTTCCTTTGGATCAGTGTTTCCCAAACTTTGATCTTGATAAATAACCTTATATCAACCACAGTCCATGGAGAAACAGATGGTATGTGACTCTTGACTAGGGCATGGGCAAACTAGAAGTGATAACAATGTGCCCTGGGGCTAGTGGCTGTGGGAGTTGCTCCTGCCCTTGGTCTCTTCTGAAGGGGCAAGTGGAAGACACATCAGAAGCCGGAGCCAGAGAAAGAAGAGGAGCCTTTAGTCAAGGGACACATACAGTCTCCAGGCAGCCTTCCTGGGGGAGGAAGCAAGGACATCATTTTCCAACCTCATTCTTCTTGGTCTTCTTTTTCTTGCTGGTGCTCCCCACTGAGTTACTCCAGCCAGAAGCCAGAGGCAAGAAGCACTTTGATTTGGCCTGGGATTGAGTAGGAAAGGGTGGGGTAGAGAGGGGAGGGTTGGGGTAGGCAAACAACAGAGAAATGGTCCACATCTTCACAGCCAGGTGCTGCCTGGACTCTTCCACACTTAATGGCTTTCTTTGCATCTTTCAATAATCACTTAAATAATTTTAAAGTATACAATTCAATAGTATTAAGTACTTCAGGCAACCATCACCACTATCTGCCTCCATAACTTGTTCATCATCCCAAACTAAAACAAATACATTGTTGTTGATGTCAACTATATCTCAAAAAATATTCCATTGTATGTATAAAATACATTTTGTTTTATTGAGTTATCATCCGTGTACACTTGGGTTGCTTCCACAATTTGGGTATTGTGAGTAGTGCTGCTGGAAACACTGGCATACCAATGTGTGCTTAAGACGTTTTCTTAATCTAAGTAAATGTGCTTTGAAAGGAAATTGCTGACTTGATTGACTCTGGGCAGAAAAGGCAGGGAACAGAACGAACGACAGGCTGTGATTGCGCCATCTGAGTCAAGTCACCCTGGTCACCAGGACAGAGAGCCCCAGCCTTGGTCCAGACCGTGGAAATGCAACCAAAGGACAGCTGTTGCGGTGTGGATACTCACATAAATTTCTATTTTCTGCACTGTGTGAATAACATGTCCAAATAAGCTTCCCCAATATGCAGCTTAGAGCACTTTTTTTTTTTCCCTTCTAAGTACCGCGCTGACAGATTGCACCACTGGAGCCGCACCTCCTATTATTTTTTTCCTTTCACAAAACCAACCCCCTTCTTTCTTTTCCTTCCTCTCTTTCACTGCACCCTGAAACCCTTCATTCCATTTCCTGAGCCATGTAAGGCTACGTTTTCTGTCATGTCACTCTAACATATTCGCTACACAAGGAGATGTGGCTTAGCACAAGTTCTTCCTTAGTTTTCCCTCCTGCTTGTTGCTTCAGAGTGTGTGCAAATTGTCTTAGGCTTTGGAGATCAAACTGACGTGGTATTGATGCCTCACTGACCATACTGGAGTTTGCCTGAACTTATACTTTTAATTTGGCTTTTGACACAGCCCTGTGTGCAAAAATATTAACAGTATTTTCTTTTTCTTTTTTTTAAGATTCACTTATTTATTTATACGTAGAAGAACTGAGGTGTAGGCCACATGTGGGGGTGGCGGTGAGAGGATTCACTGAGACAGAGTGGGGAGTAGAACAGGCAGATGTACTGAAATACACTGCTGAGGGGAGCAGTGGGCAAGACAGGAGAGGTCTGCTGTGCAGTATGTTCCAAGCCTGGCCAGGGATGGAACTCAGGCCTTAGTGGTGATATGGATAATCTGTCACCTCCATGCCTCTGCACCTGTTACCCCCAACACCCCCTTTCAGAATCTGCTAGTCACTAGTCACTCAGCATCCACTTCCTGATGTATTTCTTCTAAACTGCCTGACCTCCTGCATCATTTCAGTCAGTCCTTAAAGATAGAGGCTATGCTTTCTCCTTCTCTGTGTCCAGCACATTGTAAGCATGCAGTATAAACTGAATTGAATTAAAAACAGTATTCTAGAAATATAGACAAAGGCAAAGAGAAAAGACCAGGCACAGAGAATTTTAACATTGAAGGAGGGGTTAGTGTCTTTTCATAAATCTTAGGAATGGCCTTTATTTATTCACCTTATTTTAAATTCTCACCTGCCAGTGTTACATTTTAAACTTTAAAGTCTCTACAGGAGGAAGCTCTGGTTGTATATAGATTAAAGCATAACTCTTCTGGGCCTCCCTGGTGGCGCAAGGGGTTGAGACGCAACCTATGAAGCTCGCCACAGCCAATGCAGCACAAGTTAGATCCCCGGCCAGGGAGCTACCCACATGGCACAGCAGACCTCTCCTGTGGTCTGCTCCCCTCAGCAGTGTATTTCAGTAGATCTGCCTGTTCTGTTCCTCACTCTGTCTCTGGTGAATCCTCTCACCCCCCACGCCTCTGGCCTGTACCCCAGCTCTTGTATGCATAAATAAATCAATCTTTAAAAGCATAAAAAATAAATAAAATAAAACATGACTTCCCAAATTACTGAATTTTTATCTAGACCTTAATCTCTTTGCAGAGTGCCCCAAGTGACATTCTTAAAGTGACATGTGCTTTTTCTCCCACCTTTAAGCACTCTGCTGACCCAACTGTTGGGCACACCCCAGGCCATCACAGTGCTACCTCTACCCAGGAGGAGATTGGATTTTTCCTCTTCAAGGACAGCACAGAGCTGATTCAAGTATCTCAATATTTGATTCTGCCATACCCCATGAAGTTCCTGAAACCCTCCCAATCCTCAGCGTTTGCCTTTTCATTTATAAAACCGTAACTGCTCTATGTGACTATTCTTCCCCTCACTACAGCTCAAACAATCCCTCCAAATCAACATCTCACAAAACCCCAAGTCTGAGTCATCTTTGTTTCAGAAATTCACATGCTCAAATAAAAATTCCCTTCTTCCTCCGACAGCGTTTGAGTTATTTACACTCTCAATTTCTTCAAAAGGAGTCTGAAAGCCATCCTTTCCTATCTCTTCCTTTGGACACAACCCTCTGAACTGACACCAACCCTCTGAACTGGTCTCTTTTCCTCCAGATTCTCTCCCCTCCAGTCCACTCTGTCCTTGTGCCAGAAAATTCCTTCTAAAAACACTGAATTATCCTCCTGCTCCAAAAATTTCAGTGGATTCCCCTGTGATGGCCTTAGATTAAGGACTTTCTTAATGTCTTAATGCAGAATTCAGGAGCTTCTGTGGCCACATCTTTCTTTTTCTTCCTTGATTTCTTTTCAAAAGAAAATCTTAGCCCCGTTTGGTTCTACTACTGTTATTACTATAGTGTTCTTTAAATGACCCATATATATTATGGGTCAGCAGGCCACAGAGTGTCAGGGTTAGGAACCAAGGCCTCAGATTTAATGAATTGCCCAAAGTCCAACAACGACCAGCAACAAGCACAGTTGCTCTCCCATTTTTATTGCATGTTCAAACCTGGATTGTGCTTCAGGCATAATGAAAGTGAGCTTTAATAACTTTATGAAGATAAACAAGGGACAATGTTGATTTTGGAGTAATCATTTACTTTCTTCCTGCTGCCACCTTGAAGCTCTGAGCTTGTAAGATCTACCCAGGTCTGAGCCTGTAAGCCTTTCTTATTTTGGAAAGAATTGGAGGGTGGAGAGGCAGAAAGAGATCTAGGTAAATATTCTGAAAAGCATAGCCCCAAATGCAGATACCCCTGTTCTGAGTGGTATTAGAGTGACTCTAAAAATGTCCCTTTTTGGGCCTCCCTAGTGGTGCAGGGGTTAAAGACAGCGCTACCAAGCTGTTGCCAGCTATTGCAGCATGAGTTTGATCCCCTGCCCAGCCAGAGAGCTAACCCTCATGGTGAGGCAGACCTCTCCTGTCTCGCCCGCTGCTCCCCTCAGCAGCGTATTTCAGTCACTCTGCCTGTTCTGTTCCCTGCTCTGTCTCTGGTGAATCCTCTCACTACCTACTAACTCCCCACCCCACATCTCTGGCCTACACCCCAGTTTTTGTATGCATAAATAAATAAATAAATCTTTTAAAAATGGTCCATTTTCTCTCATAGTCACTGGCCCTCTCAACTTTACACTCCCTCAGTGTTTACTCAACAGTCTGGACTCAAAACTCAATCCACCCTGACCCCAAGATCATACCTTTTGACTCTCAATCCAACATTCAATATAGAACTGCTTTCTGCTGTATTTCTTATCTAGAGATTGTAGGAATACAGGTTAAACTGGAGATGAAACCAGAATATTAACTCATTCCTTCATTCAGCAAACTTTTATTGTATGCATGCTACATGTTAGGTACTATTTTAATGGCAATCCTCTTTTTTTTTTTTTTAAAGATGTATTTATTTGGGCCTCCCCGGTGGCGCAGCGGTTGAGCGCTGGGTTGAGAAGCTGCCCGCGGCCTCTGCGGTGCCAGTTTGATCCCCGGCTGCTCCCCGGCCACCGGAGGAGGGTCCCACATGGCGCGCAGACCTCTCCTGCCGCCCGCTGCTCCCCTCAGCAGTGTACTTCGGTCCTTCTGCCTGCTCTGCTCCCCGCTCTGGCTCTGGTGAATTCTCTCACCCTCCCGCACTTCTGACTGTACCCAGTGCTTGTGTAAACAAAACAAACAAACAAACAAACAAATAAATAAAAACATGCCTCTATTAAAAAAAGTATTAAAAAAAAGATGTATTTATTTATTTATACAAGCACTGGGTACAGTCAGAAGCACAGGAGGGTGAGAGAACTCACTAGAGCCAGAGTGGAGAGCAGAACAGGCAGACTGACGAAGTACACTGCTGAGGGGAGCAGCAGGCGGCAGGAGAGGTCTGCAGGCCATGTGGGACCCTCACCGGCGGCCGGGGATCGAACCAGCGCTACAGAGGCTGTGGGCAGTTTCGCAACCCAGCGCTCAACCGCTGCACCACTAGGGGAGGCCCGGCAATCCTCGTAATAATAACTACAACTAGTTGAATGCTTAACATATGCCAGACATGGTTTTAAGTGCTTTTATCTATCTCTATCTATCTATCTATCTATCTATCTATCTATCTATCTATCTATCTATCATCCATCCTCTGAATTCTCACAACAACCATATGAGACAAGTTCTTTATTACCATTTTATACATGAGCAAGCTGAAGTGCAGAGCAGTTAACTAAATAGACAATGAATGATACATAGCAAAGTAACAGAGCTAAACTTTGAATCCAGGTGGCCTAGCTCCAAAACTTTGTATTCTTAAAAAAAAAAAAAA